AATATTAAGTATCAGAAACTAACACACAATTATGAGATCTACGGTCATACTCGGAATAAGATATTCAAACTAATATATTAGTACTTTTCAATTGATCTAGATCTTATTGATAAGTATTATCATTTTTATGCTGGAGATATTTTAAAATAATACTAAATTTAAATAAATAATTAGTGAAAAATATTTGTCTCGTATGCAAATTGTACATACCAATAATTTTTTAGTGACTTTTTTTGAAAAACAATGTTATTTTTAAAAAAATGTTGATTATAAATATAAATAAATGATGTTATTGGACATGAAACCTTAAAACAAGAATTCACGTTCATTTATTTCAATTAATATATATTAGTTGAGCTACCTCCTTCACCATTTTAAACAGTAATGTAATAGAAATAAAATATGTAAATATTAATTGTGATTGTTTTCATTTTTTATTTTGATGGATTAGGAAGCTAGAGTTACATAGTTTGGTATATGCATTGTTCTACGTTATATATAAGTGGATTATCATGTACATACATGCATAGGTGTAACTAACTATTGCACCATCCACCATACATTCTTGCTATACATAAGTGGCTGTGGATTTGTAAATCTTAGAGAGATTAATGAATAATGTGAAAGTGACATTCTATCATGGTATCAATCAACGACTCGATTCATTTCACTCTCTCACTTCTCTAATAGAATAATGTTATGTAACTAACTTTCTCTCTCCTCTTCATCTTTTTTGTTGATCCTCCATGGAATCTTCTTTCAATGTTTAAGACTACACATATAACACCCTATTTCTCCGTCAGTAATTTAACCAAAAAGTAGAGTAATTAATTCATATAAACAAACATCAAGAAAAGGATGCTACATCTTCGTACATCGTGTATACTCATATAACAAGATACGTAACATATAGTCATTTATTCATCACGTCTGAAATTCGTTGCATTTATTCGCAGCGAAAAAACACCATTAGAAATCTTTCTCAACATAAGCAATAGTTGTCACAATTCAAAACTTAAAGTAAAACATCAATTAAAATTCAATAAAATGGAGTTCTATAATAGTTTACTCTCATCCTAACAAAACAAACTCATAAACCCCAAGTGTTACGTATCAGAGCTAACACCGACTCAATCTACACAAAGTGAGGCACTTCTCAGCGAGTCTCTACCTCGAGCTACTTCAGATCATTTGCACGTTATCCACGTAGAGGCAACATTGAAACAGAAGGGATGGGATATCACGATAATATAATAAGTTATATAATCATAGGTATATAACAGATATATCATGCAAGATTCCAAGATCAACAATCATCAATCATAATTCATCATGATTATACAAGTACATACATAATTTATCATCGCCTATCATATAACACATATCAATTATGCAAATCAACTTCATTGTTATATCAACAAATCAATAAAATGCAGTGCGACTGACACTGATGCAAAATACATGTGGTATCATTAGGGAAGAACTCTCATCTTAATAATGCCAACTTAGGGAAGCAACATCATAATGCCAATACAAGCCATCATTCACCCATACAGACCATCTTTCTATGAGCGCATGCGACACTAATATGCAACAACTTAATTTATATTGATATTACTACTCATTAATATCACGCCAATACAGGTCATTGTCATCATTATCATCATGCAATATTTATGCAATTCATTCACACATCATTCGTACAACACCATCACGTTCAATCACAATAATATGCATCACTCCTCATACAATATTAACACACAAGGCATAAACTTTCACCAAAATAATCATCATAAGATAGAAAATATTATATCACATCAACATCAAAATCCTCATGATTTATTCCACAACAGCAACAATAAATTCACCATTAAGTTAGGACATTCTCAATTAATCTACTATACAAAGTATTTGCATACATTTCACAAAATATCATAACTCGACAGTAAGAAACACCCGTCTATGCATCAAATAGTTGGAATTATAGTATTGAAAATATTTTTAGGAGAAAGTACGTTAAATCAGTATTCCAGCAATTTAAACTACGCGTCAATCAAATATCTGAAACTCAAGTTATAATTTTTTGAAGTTTTACAAGATTTACTAACACCGACAAACTACAACACAGACACTGACACCCAAGACATAAGCCTCCAACCTAAAAATAATTCACCTACTATTATCAAAATTATTATCATATTGTAGAAAATGTTTTTAGCTTTTCAACGGTCCAAACGACATGTCAAACGGACACCCGAGTATAAAGTTATTAATTTTCAAAATTTTAAAAAATTATCAGCTTCAGTGAAGTAACGGGATACTTGACCAGGTAACCGGTACTTCACCATCTAGAGGCCAGTTACATGTATTCTTTTGTGAGTTATATGTTCTAAAACTTCTTAACACAATATAATTATTCTTATTTTTTCCATTGATGATATTACAAAAATATTATTTTTAATTAATCTATCATTTAGTAGAAAAAATTTGTCCTATGTTCACTTTGGTATGCTCCAAGTCCAACATTCTTTTAGTAACATATTTCTCAAAAATATTGTGTTAAATTATAGGTAATTTATTATAATTAGACTTATTATGTCAAATAATGTTAAAAGATAGTTATGTTAACTATTTCTTTTGTGAAACACATTTATTATATATATGATGTGTATAAAATTTATAATAAAATATAATTTATGTGTTTCAATTAGCTAAATAATTGATAATAATATTTTTTATTTTAAACATAAAAATTAAACTAAAAGTACTAAAAAAGAAAATAAAACAATTATATAATTAAAGTACATATAAAAAATAAGAGCAAAATAGTTTTAATATAGAAAAAAAATTTATAGTCCAAATTACAAATAGGATTAATTTTCATATTTATTAGTATGTTAAAGGGAATAAAATAAAATAATTTATATAAAAATAACACTGGTCAAAATTGCAAATTACTGTATTTTCAAGATTTTACACAATCTAAATAATATGGTTGATGTTCTATAAGAAAAATAAGTTGGAAATAAAGTAGAGTAAAAAAGACACGTTAGAAAGAAAAAAATATTATTTTTATCAATATTTAAATAATATATATTTTAAAACAAATATATATTGTTAGAATGAGACATGCTTATATGAAATATACTTCAATTAAATATGTTTCTGCATATTTAATTTTTTTATTAACGGAATGCATCAAGATTGAAGAATAAAAGCATTCCTTATATTATTATAGATACCGCTTGGAAAAAAACAACAAAATAAATGCTAATGCGGTGAGCGTGGATCGAACACGCGACCTTCAGATCTTCAGTCTGACGCTCTCCCAACTGAGCTATCCCCGCAACCATGTTTTGTTAAAATATTTATATTATTTATCTACATTAGTTTATGCATTTTGTTGAGTTAAATTTTGCGTGTATATTTAGCTAAAACTTGCCATCACCTGATTCATAATATCGTCTAATTGTTCTCTTAACTTCAGAATTTTATTTTCCAATGCTAAATGATTTTTTTAATGTTGGAGATATTATTTTTAATCATCCATGTGACCAGAAATGGATTTTAGCCTATTAATTGAAATGGTAGACTAAGATTTCTTTTTTATATTAAAAAATATGATTATTGATAGATAAAGTGAGGTCCTAAATCAACTTGAGGAAGTGGACTATAATCAATTCAAATCAAGTTTGTCATTAATATTAGGGTTGTCACTCTATCTGTGTTCTTACAATATTTGAATCTTAGAGTGCCAAATTATTTTGACCAAAATAAAACGAGGGTAAATTTATAAGCGTTGATAAGACTTTATCAATGTTAAGTTGACAACACACTCAACTTGTGGTTGGAATGGGACCAGTGCTTGATCTCCATAAAATTATTGATGTTTAATATATTTAGCATTCATGATAATGTTAAATGTAAATGCATTACATCCAACAAAAGAATTTAGATGCATTACAAGATACATATGAAATTGATTAACTTTATTATCTACTTAGAATTAAATGTTAAAATGGTATAAAATTCTTTTTTAAAATTGTAAATAAAAGCACGTTCCATAATTTTGAACTTAGGCTAAACCATTTTTTTAAATGTGTATTAAATTATATCAAGTCTTAGACATGGTTTTTGTTCTAAGATTTCTAGCAGCATCTCAACAGAAGTGCTTTGCTTGTTGAGCAATTTTTCAAATAGCTTCAACACATTGCAATGCTTGCACAACTAAGTTTCTCTCATCTTTTATGCACATACATGTGCTTCAACTTTATAAAAGAAAACATAAATACATCTATAGTAGATAATAAGACGTCGTTGAAATATAAGTTGTAGAGTTATAAGTGGATCCATTTAATAATTGTTTTTGCAAGTGTTAGGTTAGAGTCACTTTTCTTCTTCTATTGCTCTTATGATAAGTGCTTCTATTGACTTTTAAGTCGACCACAGCAGGAAAAATAATTCTATTGCCTCTGAAAAATAATTCTGCTCACCAGTTTAATCATTTGACTTGAAAGTATATTTTCTGTTAGCCATTATCTGTGGGTTAATTTTCTAGATTATGTTGCCATAACATTCGCAATTGGGTAATCATATTTTGCAGCAAGACACACACTTGTAAATACAATAAACAAAAGAAAGAAATACATGCTCCATTTTACTCACTTTTACAAAGCAGTCACAGCCTGGTCGAATGGCTTCATCACTCCCGTCCCCATAAAAAATGAAAAATAAAATAGAACACATTCAACATAGCATAAACCAACCGTAGTTGGGAAGCCAAAGGACCCATTCTCAAACAGGGTTCTGTTTTGTCTTCAGTCTGCATTGTTTCTTGCACTCTGCTAAACCAGATTATCTATGAATCCCAGGCAAAACGTTACTAACTAGTTAACAGACTATTCTGATGTTTTTTACTAGGTAATGGAGCTAAATTCATCATACGGAAGTATTTATCTTGTTAGTGAGGCCTATTGAAAACATCAAACAAAACCCAGATTTCACCTTCTTAGAGCTCCATAGTTTCTGGTCACCTAAAAACAAGAAAAATAGTTGTTACATGAAAAGTCACAATTCCAAGAATGTTATGAACCAAAAAGCACATTAGGAAAAGAGATTTCCACTATCAACCACATAGTGTGATCAATGGCAGGTGACAAATTATGACAGTGAGGCAAAAATCTATCATGTAAACACAGGGTTACGGCAAATATAATAGGTGTTGGGGCTGGCACAAAATCCTCCATGTCATAGCACCACGCCACAGCTTGACAAAAACTGACCGCAGCTGCACTCTATTATTTGCTAGAGTATATCAGGGGTGAACATTTCCCGGCGACATGGTGATAAAAGATACAAGTAAAAGTATAGGAAACCAAAAGTCAGCAATCAATTCCCTTCAATTCATCTTAGCAACATTAATTTCGTTCGACTGAATGATTAATTAATGTCTAGCAAAATTTTATTTGCAAGTGCCAGATGCAAAAACTTCAGAGAATCAAGCAGATTTAAAGGCGATCTATCAAAAGTATCCCTAGCAACATTTTTATGCCATTTCATTAGGTATATCTTGAGGTCTTTGTCACCCAAGCATAGTTCAAATTCTCCTGTTCTGCTAGCTATAAGGGCAATTACTAGTAAATGTATACGAACACAAGATGGATCACCATCTGTTCAAATACACATTTCGCATTGGTGATATAGATCCTATCAGTAACAAGTGAAGAAATGAAAGAGGGAACAAACCCGAGGCTGAGACGGATTTAATCTCTTTTGAACATTGTCATCATCGTCATCGTCGTCGTCGTCATTGTTCATGAGCATTCTATGGATTGAAGAGTTGTCTGATTTCCTCCCCCGTTTAGAAGACTGTGTAGCACCTTTACCTCTTCCCTTTGGAGCAGCTCTTTTCCGTGCCGGTAGATTGGATTCATTGTCCTATGCAATAAAAGAAGCAGCAGATTACTTAATAATTGAGAATGTCAAGGATATTAGACAAAAAATACAGTCCAAAGCGCATATAAAATTGTCAGGTTGCACAAAGCAAACTGACAAGCACTGAACCAAAGATCCTAATACACTTCATATTTGACGGAGAAATTGGTATTAATCCATACCGAACTGTCATCAATTTCTTCGACTGCATTTCCTTTGGCATCGTCACTTGAACCAGAAGCCATATTATCACCATCATCGGCACCACTTCGAATGGCAGTTGTTGCAGCAACTGATGCAGACCTGCATTAAGTCATGAAATCATGTAGGGCTTATATTCACAGTCAAGGCACCATCAAGGGAATATCAGAATGACTTTGTATAAATCCTACAATGCTTTTAGAAGCACTTTGTCCACACTGGCCAAAGCAACAAGGATGCTTGGAGCAGCAAAGAAATCAGAATCATAACTCTAAACAACAATATAAATATAAATATACTGAGATGGGATAACTGAGTAGAGCGGATATCTCGATCAAGGAAATTGTGAGCCTGTTTTTCTAATCTTTACCATTGAGAGACATCAATTCAGCAACAAAACAGTTTCTGGCATAATAGCTTGTGGCCATTGGCCACCAGCAAGCTTAAAAATTAAATGGTATTCACATGTGCAATGTACTAGCATGATAATATCTATATACTAGTTTGATATTGACTTGATACAAAAGACTAAACAATAACCTTAATTATAGGGGTACGTACAAAACTCCTAACCCTAAATAAATAAGAAAATTAGGAAACAAATCGTGATAATAAGGAAGTGATATAGAAACTAATCCAAGATACTCTAAGATTAGAAGCTGGTTATAGATGATAAACTAAGATACTCTAATATAATACCAATGATATTTAACATTTTTTTTTTCAATGGAAAGCGATGAACATTATATGAAAATGGAAGTATTCCATATCCCCTCTGGATTTACTTTGCATCATAGAAATAAAAAAAAGATACTAAAATGACTTATTTCTTAGCGAATGCAACCTTTGAGAAGAGCGAAACCCTAAAGATCCATCAAGGGTTGTCTGCTTCAATGTGCTGGAATCCTTGCCTTTGCCCCTACCCCTGCCCCTGCCCCTTCCTCTGGTAGTAGTTTGAGATGCAGAGGATCCTTTTCGACCTCTAGTGCTTGGCTTTGAGCTCGATATTGGCATTGCATCTTCATCATCACTGAAGGAAACTGCACTATCAGCTCCAGCAGCACTTCTTCCTTGAAAGTCCTATATAGAATAAAGAGAGAAGCAAAGAATAAAGGTCATGAATAATATCACCTACCCAAAACCCTACTTTTTCCATCATATTGCAAATTGCAATAGCAAGTATCAGTGTATAATATCATTTGTCGGGTTTACCTCAAAGGAGTGAGTACCAGGAGTGAGCTGTGTAGATCCTTTAGGGCGCATGGACCGTTCCTTAACACGTTCCTAGAACAAAAAGGAGAACGATATGATGACACGTATGTTCTGTCCATCAAACAATTATGATCACAATGACCTAATAAAATAATCGCAGGCCCCAATAATTGCAAATATTGTAACAAACAAAAAAAGGAGACCGATGAAGGTCCAGATTATCTGCAACCACTATAATGCTATTTCATGAAAGACCTAGAAAAAAAGCCCTTTCAAGGCAAAGTGAGTTTCAAATCTGAATTCAATGGAAAATAATTGATTCCTATACTAATGAAAAACATTGATGAAACTTCTAACCTCAAAGCACTCTCCAACTTTAACAACTAAATCTTCCTCCTCAAACTTTCGCTCATTTGAATCCTTAGCAATTTTAGTCTGTGCAAGCATAAGAGTTAGCCATCACGGAAAGAGAAAGGAATATGACATTAACATAACACATACAATAATATGAAGAAGAAATAATGTACTCATTCTTAGTAAATAGGGTGTGGAATATAGTACATACTAGATGTTCCAGCATATCAGTATCACAGACAAAAGCATACAGAGGATAAATGCCATAAAGAAACTAACCCGTGTTTCCTCAATATTGTTGTGTACACAAGTGTAAAATGCCATTTTATCATCCTTATTCACAAAATTGTGTAAAGCAATATCCAAATCATTGACTGGAAGTATCTCCATTTTCTGCAAAATAACTAAAAGTTAGATACATTCAAAGATAAAATAAAATTATACTAGCATTTTTTGACATTTATATTTTTTACCTTCAACAAAAGTAAAGTCAATCTAGAATTCCATATACTAATGAAGTTATCCGGTAAAAGGTGGACATCCCTAAGGTCGATTTAACCCCAACCCCAGTTCTAAGAGTTCCCAACAAAATTCAAGAAAATTAAATTGACTTTAAAATATAAATATACTACATATATAGGACATAGGATAGCACCAGAGGAGCAAGAAGACAACAGCTTAACCTTGGCATTAGGATTATTTCATTTTTTAAATTTCGGTTAGTTAAGAATTGTTCGTTAGGATTATTTGATCTTGTTAAGAGTCCCACATCGGACGATATATGGCCTGAACATGTGTTTATAAGTGGGGACAATCCTCACCCTACAAGCCGGTTTTGTAGGGTTGAATTAGGCTCAACCACATCTTAATATGGTATCAGAGCCTCGTTTAAGATCCAGTGGACCATCCACCATTTATTTCCACGCTCCAGTTGTCTAGTCCTGGGCGTGAGGGGGTGTGTTAAGAGTCCCACATCGGACGATATATGGCCTGAACATGTGTTTATAAGTGGGGGCAATCCTCACCCTACAAGCCGGTTTTGTAGGATTGAATTAAGCCCAACCACATCTTAATAGATCTCTTATAAAATTTGTTTTGAAAGTTTTTTATCTCGACAACATTCTGCATAATAGAACCTTTATCAATAGTAGTTTTCTTTTTTACTCTTTATCTTGATAAGATTCTGCATAACAGAATCATTCCTTATCGGGAGTACTTTGATTAGGATCTCTTCATTATTTGTGGCCTTTTGATAAAGGCAGACTTGTATTGAAACAAACATGAAAGAAATCATTTTTCAGAGAAAACTTGTGTTAGTAAAGGAGGGGTTCTGTGTCTGCTTCTTGTTTTAACCATAGATCGAAAGAAAGATTCTACCGCATGCCACATGAAGATTCATAACAATTGCACAGTCAGTGAGTAGCATAAACCTATGAGGTTGTTCATTGTTGAAACAAGAAATATCCATTAATCCATATATAGAAAGACTAAAGGATTAAAGTACTAAATGATTTAAATACCAGATTATTTTCTGCAACCAAAGCCTCTATGTTCTGTTGATTTAATTCTTCTGGACGTAGTCGTTCTGAATCATCAATTTTTCCTACCAATGAAAAGTGCAGGGGTAAACAATCAAATTCCCAGATGCCAGTTAACCAACATGGTGTATTTTAGTTTGCTTTCAATAGAGATTGCATATGCCTTGTAAGCAATTATTAATATGTAGAATAATATTCCTTCAACATGACCTTAATGTGAGTACGTAATATTTATAGCATAAAATAATTATAAATATCTTATCTAGGTGGTCGTTACCTCTCTGCATTTCTTTTTAAATTAAAGGTTTTGAGTCTTGAGAATTATAATCTGGGTCACTAACATATGGATGTGTGATATTCTGTACAGAACTACAGATATTGCAGGAGCTTAGACAGAGAACTGGTTCTTAAAACAGATCACAAGGGGACATGTCATACTCAAAGTAACAGTGTCAAAGGTGGAAGTGAACAAGATTAAACTGAACTTTAAGAAAAAGAAATAAATAGATAAACCTGCACAAAAAATGTACTTTGCAACCTAAAAGTTTAAAGAAAGATAAACTATGTCAAGATTCAGAAAGAGAACTGGTAAAAGATGTCTGACGTGGATATTGTAACTGTTAATGTTAAATGAGCCGACATAGAAAGTTAACAAAGATAATTTAAATTACCTGCACCCTTCTCCAATTTTGATGCCTTTGAAAATATAAGGATGTCTTGCGGGTTTGCAACCTAAAATAAGGATGACCAATCAACAATAGAAAACAAACTCCAAGTAAAATCAGCATTAGCACACTTATTTAGGAAGAGTGACAGAATGAACTTACCTTTCCTACATATTTCTGCCCAAATCTTTGAGGATTTATAGTCATAAATCCAGAGTAATCTACCTGTAAATTAAGCTTTATTAGTTGGAGACTTGAAGTTATACCAGATAACATTATGTAATACCTAATGATACTAGATGTCTGTTAATGCCAATACACTGAACAGAAGTACATATAAGTACTGATGACAAACTGTCTTCTGAGGGATCCATGCACGATGGATAGAGTTTAACTGGTTGGGTATCATGAAAATTACTACCTTTTGTAGAAGATAAGTGTCAGATCAAAACCAGTAAGATTATAGAATCATGAATTGCAGACAATCTTCCTGCAAAGTGAAGTGCTAAAAGGAAGAAGTGCACTGGAATATAGAAGTGATTTTCAGAAGTCATGTCCTAGTATAGAGAAATTACCTTGATACGTATTAGTGGAAGCTTCAGTTCTGCTCTTAGGACAACTTGCTTACTAGATTTTTCTAGAAGCTTCTCGACCTGTACAAATGATCTATCATCAAAATAACATTGATACACCTATGACTGAATATCCGCATACATATACAACAAAACCAAGTTTTATCGCACTAGGTGAGGTCGGCTACACACTTCAAACAATGCATCCATTTTCTATCATTAAATGCCTATAGCCAACCAAACCATTGACCTCTAAAACTTTTGAGAAAAGACACCTAAGTGGTCCTCTCCCCCAGAACTAATCAACTAACAGGGCACAGCAAATTATACAGCATGAAGAAGAAAAAAATCGTACAATATCAAGAAACCCACATACCACTTTGTCGAGATGTTCAAGAATAGAATTCTGATCATTGGAGTCAATATCAGGAATATCTTTTAGTATTATCTGCATTATAAAGATTTAAATGGTTATTGAATAACCATAAAATGTCAAGAATTTAAGAGATGACTTTTGTTATACTTAATTGATATTTGATATTCCCTGCATCCCTTTATAAAGTTAATACAAACTATTTTGAGAAATTTGTTCTGTCGCTTTTTATTAGACACCCTCCAAATTGTCTCTTGAATTAAATGTTATTTTTTCCAAAATACTTTGGTTATTTCATTATCTTTCACTTGTGAGGGTTGGAGAAAGGTGGAGTGGAGTGGAGTGATGAGTCCCAATACAAATTTACCAAGTGGAAAAGTGACTCAAGTCCCAACAATTTTAACGGGAGTTTTAGAAAAAATAATACAAATTATTAACAAATTTAATACTACAAACAAAATCAAACAACTTTCTTAGTTCTTGAGAATTAGTTCAAAGAGAGAGTATTTACAAATGAAATCAAAATAATATCACCTGACCTCGGTATACTCAAAAGGCCGCACAGATGTTAGAGGTATCTTAGTAGGGCGATATTGATTTCCCTGTTAAGAATCATTAATTCAAGAACCTATATATAATATGTAGATAAGACAATAGTTGCTTCTATGAAAGAGTCATTAAGTTTCTCACTATATAGACAACCTTAATTTCTAAAAGAAGTACATGTTTTGGCTTCGATTCTCCATCAATAAGTGATGTTGCAACAGACGACCCTGGTTGTGAAATGTGAAATCCCATCCCTGGAACTTCCTGAAAAAAATTAAAATCCATATTAAGTTTGCAGAACACATCATATAGATAATCTAGGCCCGTATAAGCAATCTAGGCCTGTATAAGAGATGTCAAATCAGTGCACCTGTGGGTCAACCAGACATTCATGCTCATGCCCCCACACAATGAAGTCTAGGAAGCGTGGCAGGAAATGCTCATTTATTGCATTTTTGGGATTTGTTTTCACTCTGCATACCATTGTTCAAAATAAGATCAATTGTCATGTTGATTAATGTTGGAATTAGTAACAATTACTAGTATTGAAATGTTGGAATTAGTAACAATTATTAGTATTGGAAGTTGTAGCAATCTAGTTAGTCATGCATCTAGGAAATAACATACATGCATTATGCATTATTAGATGTATTCCTTTGTAACTGCCAGGTGTCAGCTTGTTAAAAGTTCTGACCTGCTATAGCAGGTCACCCTTTGCATCTATATAATGTAGATCTAAGATCTTGTAACGTTCTTTAACAAGAAATAGAAAACAGTTACAGCATGAAATATTTCTCTCTCTCTCTAATTTCTAATATGGTATCAGATTAGCTTCCTTGATCCATGGCAGATTTGACTTCCTCCGCCGCTGCTCATGTCTCGTCGCCGTCGTCCACCGCCGTGTTGGATGAATCGCGCCGTTTACAGTTCGCACTGAAGATCGCGACCAAACTCGACTCGAAGAACTTTCATCTATGGCGCCAACAAGTTGAACCATACATTAATGCTCACAATCTCACCGATTTGGTGATTTCTTCGCGAATTCCTTCTCAATTTCTTGATGATGATGCTCGACAATCAGGTATGGTTAATCCTGCGTATTCAGCTTGGCTGCAGAAAGATCAGATGTTGCTTTCGTGGCTTCAATCTACTCTCTCGAGCGAGATTCTGTCTCGCGTTCTTGGATGCACACATACGCATCAACTTTGGGATTGTTTGTTCAGCTATTTTCAGAAACAAACTCGTGCCAAGGCTCGTCAACTTCGTGTGGAGCTTCGCGCCCTAACACTTGATAATCAATATGTTCAAGATTATCTTCAGAAAATTCGTACTACTGTGGACTCGCTTGCCTCTATTGGAGATCCGGTGCCTCTGTCTCATCATATTGATGTAATCCTGGAAGGATTACCTTCAGATTATGCTTCAGTAGTTTCAGTTGTGGAAAGCAAATTTGGGATTATGGACAATGATGAAGTTGAGATTCTTCTCATTGCGCATGAACTTCGCTTGAACAAGTTCAAGAAACAACCTGCTTCAGATATTCTCTACCTCAATCTAACACACACTGCACCTTCCTCTCAGTCCCCTGAATCTGCTCATCTTGGAAGTACTGAGTCTATACTTGTGCCTGTTTCTCAGTCCACAGAACTTGACTACTCCAGTTTTAGAGGTGGCAGATCTCACAGAGGTCGTGGTGACAGAGGGAGAGGTGGCAGAAATTCAGGTATTCAATGCCAAGTTTGCTCTCGTTTTGGTCATTCTGCCCTAGCTTGTTAGCATAGATTTAATCAGCATTTTCAACCTCCTGCTTCCTTTAATGGTCATTCCTATAATGCCACTCCCTTTCAGCAGCCTTCTCTTCAGCAAGCTCCATGGTTAACTGCTCCTATAGCCTTCAGTTCAATCCTTATACATGGAACAGAGCTCCTGTTGCTCAACCTAGACCTCAGTGTGCATATGCTCCACCAAGCACCTTTGTGGCTTACACTGCTCCCTCCTCATCTGCTGGCACTTGGTATCCTGATTCAGGTGCATCCTATCATGTCACCAGTGATGCTAGCAATCTCCAGCAACTTACTCCCTTTGAAGGCCATGAACAAATTTATATAGGGAATGGCCAAGGTCTCCCTATAAATACTGCAGGATCCAGTGTTTTTACCTCACCTTCTCACCCTCACACACAGTTTACACTTAATAATCTGCTTCATGTCCCTTCCATTACCAAGAATCTTATTAGTGTCAGCCAGTTTTGTCTTGATAATAATGTATATTTTTTGTTCACAGCTGACAAATGTCTTGTCAAATGCCAGGTCTCTGATGTTGTCCTGCTGGTTGGTCAAGTTGGGTCTGATGGCCTTTATGCCTTCCCTTCATTATCTGTTTCAGCACCTGCTAAGTCTTCATCTGTTGTTTTACATTCTGTATCCAATTTTGTACCTATTGCTAATACAATTAGTATTTCCTCAAATTTGTCAAATGTACGGCATTTGAGACTAGGTCACCCTAATGAGCACACACTCAAATTAGTCTTACAAAGCTGTAATATCTCTTTTAGTAATAAAGAACAGAATATTTTTTGCTCAGCTTGTTGTATTGGTAAGGCTCATAGATTACATGCTCCCACCTCCCATACTGTCTATCACACTACTTTAGAACTTGTATATTGTGATCTGTGGGGACCATCCCCTCAACCATCTACCTTAGGCTTCACATATTACATTTCCTTTGTGGATGCCTACTCTAAATTCACTTGGCTTTCAAATTTGGACATCCTATTAAATCTGTTCAGTCTGATTGGGGAGGTGAATTTAGGCCCTTTACCAAATTTCTAAATGAGATAGGTATTATTCATAGAGTGATATGCCCTCACACACATCACCAGAATGGTGTGGTTGAGAGAAAACATAGGCATATTGTGGAACTTGGTCTTACACTCTTAAGTCAAGCATCAATGTCACTCCAGTATTGGGATTATGCTTTCTCCATTGCTGTCTTTCTCATTAACAGACTCCCATCTTCCTCTCTTAAGTTCAAAGTTCCCTATACTCTGTTGTTTAATTCCCCACCTGACTACAAGTTCTTAAAAGTGTTTGGATGTGCTTGTTTTTCCTTGCTTAGGCCCTATCATGCCCATAAGTTGGACTTCAGATCCCAAGAGTGCCTCTTTCTAGGCTATTCCACCTCTCACAAAGGGTATAGGTGTCTGTCTGCCCAAGGCAGACTTTATATATCGAAGGATGTGCTTTTCAATGAGTCTAGATTCCCTTATCATGACCTCTTTTGTTCCTCATCTTCCACAAACACTACACTCAAGTCCCAGTCTGCCACCACTCTTGGTTCTATCATCCCTTATTCACCTATGCCCTGCATCACCTCTTTACCAAATCTAGCCATTTCTGGTTCAACTAATTTTGTACCTACCACTGCTTTGGTACCTACTCAGACTGACTTTGGGCCTTCTACTACATCACCTACGTCATCTCATCAAAATACAGTCTCTACTTCTTCACAGTCTAAAGCATCAGCCCCTTCCTCCTCCTCCTCTACCTCATCTACAGCTTCTATCCCTCCTAATGTTGTCCCTATATCTCACAAACCTGTAAATGAACACACTATGCAGACAAGGGCCAAATCTGGCTTTGTTCAACCCAGGTTACAGCCTAGACTGTTGCTGACATGTACTGAACCAAAAACTGTGAAAGTGGCTCTTGCTGATCCTAAGTGGAAAAGTGCTATGCAGGCAGAATTTGATGCCCTCTTTCAAAATCACACTTGGTCCCTTGTTTCTCTTCCTCCCAACAGACAGGCCATTGGCTGCAAGTGGGTATTCAGAGTCAAGGAGAACCCTGATGGCAGTGTTAACAGGTATAAAGCCAGATTAGTTGCTAATGGTTTTCACCAAAGGCATGGGTTGGATTTTACTGAAACCTTTTCTCCCGTGGTAAAGCCCATTACCATCAGGATCATTTTGACACTTGCTATCACTCACAGCTGGTCCATTCAACAGTTGGATGTCAACAATGCATTCCTCAATGGAGAGCTTGATAAAGAAGTATATATGCAGCAACCTCCTGGTTTTCTTGACTCCAACTCCTCTTTAGTGTGCAAGCTTCACAAGGCTCTTTATGGCCTTAAGCAAGCACCAAGGCAGTGGTTTGAAAAGTTGCAAACTGCCCTTCTTCAACTTCATTTTGTTCCAAGCAAGTGTGACCCTTCCTTGTTTATCTTACCCTCTAAAGGATATACCACATATATCCTGGTATATGTGGATGATATCATCCTAACTGGCAGCAATCCATCCATTCTTACAGTTGTGATTACCAAGCTTAATAAGGCCTTTTCTCTTAAGCATCTTGACAATCTTGATTACTTCTTGGGCCTTGAGGTTAAATCCACTACTCAAGGATCTCTTCTCTTATCTCAAACCAAGTACATTAGAGATCTACTGCACAAAACTAATATGATTGATGCTGCTGCAGTTGGCACTCCTATGCATTCCACTTGTAAGCTTACCAAAACAGGTTCAGTTGCTCTTTCTGACCCTTTCATGTACAGGTCTGTAGTAGGTGCACTTCAATATGCCACTATTACCAGACCTGACATTGCTTACTCCGTCAACAAGGTGTGTCAGTTCATGTCTCACCTTTTGAAATCACACTGGGTTGCTGTGAAACGCATTTTAAGTTATCTCAACGGCACCATCAACTTTGGTCTTCATCTCACGACTTGCTCTCCACACAAGGCACCTGCTTTGCATGTATTCTGTGATGCTGACTGGGCGTCAAATCCTGATGATAGACGCAGCACATCTGGCGCTGCTATGTATTCCTTTGTAACTGACAGGTGTCAGCTTGTTAAAAGTTTTGACCTGCTATAGCAGGTCACCCTTTGCATCTATATAATATAGAATTAAGATCTTGTAACATTCTTTAACAAGAAATAGAAAACAGTTACAATATGAAATATTTCTCTCTCTCTCTGATTTCTCATATGCATGATGCACCTAGGAAATAACATACATGCATGATGCAACGAGGAAATAACATTGTTATTAATCTCCTTATAAATGTAATTTGCATGTATTTCTAGTATTATATAAATGATGGATCAGTTAAGTGCAAACCACTCAAGCATTTCACAAATCGATATTAGAGCTGGTTCATTTTTCTGTCAAGGGTTTCTGCCTCTGGTCTAGTAGAACCCTTGAATCTTTCTTGGTTTGTAAAAAATAAAAATAATATTCAAACAATAATTCTTTGATCCAAAAGTCATTGTTACCTTCATTTTCTAGTTTCAATCTCTAGTTGTTGCTCGCTGGCACACTCAGTTTTTGAAAAAAAAATAGATCGTCCTCAATGCACAAATTGCAAGAGAATGGGTCACACTCAAAAGACAAGTTTGGGTTTGGAAGTCCCATATTGATTATCACGTGAATCTGATCGCGTCTTTTTTTAATCTTTATTCGTTCAATTCCCTCGCCATCGACAGCGGTTGTTGTTTTTTGTATTTTTTGTATATAATTCTTGATACAATCTCGTATTATTTTATCTTCTTTTACATTCTCGGAATAAATTCTTGGTTGTGCAAACCAAATAGAATCATGACTTTGAGTTGTACCAAGTCTGAAACCAAGCGGATGTATTTGATTTTCCGAGGAAATCATCTCATAGGTCAATTGACACTGGTGTTCATGCTTCTGCAGCCTTCATATTTCAATTTTGTAACAATCGAAATCGTTGGTAATTGATTGTCGGTAATCGTTCCTTATTCTCTTCCATATCCTCTTACAAATTTTCCTCACTTTATAACTCTAGCAAATGGTTCTAAGGTCCCCACTAAAGGAATCGCTCATGTTTCTGTCACTCCTATAACTTTAAATTATGTTTTGTTTATACCTAGTTGCCCTTTTAATTTAATCTCTCTTATACAACTTACTCACTCTCTAAATTGCTCAATAACCTTTGATGTTGCGTTGTTTACTATACAAGAACGTGGTACAAATCGGATGATTGGTGCAGGACATGAATCACATGGTCTTTATTACCTCCAATCAGTTTCTTTTTGTAAGTTATACTGCAATTGAGTTAATTTGTTAGTTCTAATTTATGTTAATGTTTGTTAGAGTTAGGGAAAAATTATGGGTTTGAAGAAATGGACTATTTCAACTTGAAAATTATGGGTTTGAAGAAATGGACTATTTCAACTTAAGTGGAGCAGAGATATTTGAACCCGTATGGAATGAATTTTAGGTTTAATTATTTATTCCCGTTGGGCAGGGAGCAGGTATTTAACTAGGATTTGGATTTGAGCACGGAAAAGGAAAAATCCATCTCCGTCTTGCCCCATTGTTATTCAGTCTTCTATTGTCGTACCTCTCCAAATAAATGTGTTTACTTGGTGGTTTATATAGATGATATAGTAATCACAGGGAATGACCAGGAGAATTTCTCAGCTGAAGGAACATTAATGTAGCCATTTTCAAGCCAAAACTTAAGGAAGCTAAAATATGGAATTATCATCTCACAGAAGAAGTACACCTTAGACATACTTAAAGAAACAGGTATGTTGCATTGTAGACCAATTGACAGTCCCATGGATCCGAATGTAAAATTACTTCCTAGTCAAAGGGGAGCCTTATTCTAATCGAGAGAGATATCGGAGATTAGTTGAAAAACTCATTTACCTCACTATAAAAAGACCAGATATTTCTTTTGCGGTTAACATAGTAAGTCAATTCATGCAGTGTCCGCACTCTGCATAATGATCATTGGGATGCAGTGACTTGAATGCTGAAGCACATTAAAAGGACACCAGGACAAGGACTACTTTATAAATCCAACTATTTTATGATGCAGATTGGACAGGTTCGCCTATTGATAGGTGTTTCATTTCAGGATATTGTGATTCTATTGGTTGAAATCTTGCCTCTTGGAAGAGCAAGAAGCAAAATGTGGTTTCAAGGTCCAGTGAAGAGGTTGAATATAGAGTTATGGCTACAATCACTTGTGAACTTATCTTAATTAAACAACTTCAAGAGTTGAAGTTTGGATATACTCAACCATTGAAACTATATTGTGATAATCAGGCAGCTCTACATATAGCTTCCAATCCGGTATTATATGAGAACTAAGCATATTAAAAATGATTGTCATTTTGTTCGTGAGAAAGTTATTCTAATGTAATCATCACTGACCTCAAATGACCAAGTAGTGGCTTCTTCGCAAAATCTCTAAGAGGACTGAGAATTCAATACATTTGTTTCAAACTTGAAGCATTTTGGCTTATATGTTCCAGCTTGAGAGAGAGTGTTGGAATTAATAACAATTATTAGTATTTAAATGTTATTAATAGCAATTATTAGTATTGGTAGTTGTAGCAATCTAGTTAGTCGTGTGTCTAGGAAATAACATAAATGCACCTAGGAAATATCATTGTTATTAATCTCCTTGTAAATGTAAATTGCATTTATTTCTAGTTGTATATAAATGATGGATTGGCTGAGTGCAAATCACACATGTATTTCACAAATCTCTTAATCATCTATCGAAGTCTCTTAATAGTTAAAACCTAAATCTCACACTGAACGTCATTTACACAACAAATAGTTTTTAAATATGTAGATAGTGGGTTAATCAACACATTTCATTAATATGTGATATTAAACACAATCTTTCAAAAAAGATACACAAAGATAGACAACCTGTTTTGATGAAGTACCAGAATATTGAACCAATCAGAAACTTCACATCCTTCATGAGATTCAGGTCGCATCCACTGCACAGCATGTGGTGTCTGAAAAGGAATAAAAGAATATATCACATCCATATTATAGAGCATTTAAATTTATCAATGAACAACTTGAGACTTGAGAGTAAAGTTTATCAGGTAAATACTTGAAACATCCTATTCAGTCTTTCGTCTCTAATGTTTCCCAGACCATATAGAGCTACAGCTGTTGAACCCTGCAATGCAATTCATAAAAATACATATCAGGACAAAATGAGATTTATGACCATCCTGCTTTTCTCATATCTCCCATCCCATTTTAGTGTATGGATCAGTTTAACAGTAGTCAGCAACAAACCTTTTTGATAAGAATAGGGTTGATAGTGATCTGACCAACACCTGAACCCCCAAGGACCGTTTTCCCAAAGTAGTTGACTAAATTACATGCTGAGAGAATATCAACTACAGAAAGGTTGTCCTGTCATAATAATTTGACAATAAATACAATTTTACGTAGTTTAGAATAGTTGTGAACAGAATAGTATTAAGTAGACAATATTAATGCGGTCAAGCATATATAGAGTGAAATAAAATCAGTTCACTTGAAATAAAAACAGTGGGAAACTATTAGAAATGGATTGGAAAGAACACAAAAAGCCAATCTTTATTGTAAAAACCCACCTCAGACTGGGTACGGAAACCTGGTTCTCTTAATTAATTTCACCCCCAAAAAGTGTCCCACACTATTCTCTTAATTACCTTCTAACAACTACCCCTGTACAAATCCCACCAAAATTGAAAAGGTAGTCATTATTCTGCTATTAGGATTATTTCTATTTTCATTAATAGTCACTAAGGTTCTAAATAGTTCCTCCTACTCCTACTATTCTTCCTAGTATAAATCCACTTACTCGGCTGTCACTAACCTGAAACCTAACAAGTCAACTAAATAAATAAAGATCATCAAACCTTCACAGCATGACATACAATCTAGGCATTATAAAGAAAAACTTGTGTATGCAACTACGTATAAACAGCACATTTCTAATGTTACTCTAAACTTTTCTCTCTACAATGCAGAGTACAAGGCTAACAACTTTAGCCATAGTTAAAATTTGAAAACAGAACTCCCGAGCAAATATCCACAAACAACATATTTTCATCCAATGCCGTCTTGAAATAAAAACTAAATGGTGTAACAAATGAAAATTTATGTACTTATCTAGATACAAAGTTAATAACCAGTAGAAAATACTCGTGTTCTCCAAGTCCAAGGGAAATACTAACCCCTTTTGTGATATCTACCACCCACCCAACCCCAAGTAAAAGATAAAACATCACTCCCTTCCCCTCTTTGACAATCTCTTCGAGTCGCCAGTTTATAATTGATGCCCTTGTTCTCTTCCTACTTTGAGCTACTTAAAGTTTATCTTAACTAGTTGCAACTATGAACAACGACTAAAGTAATGGAACCAACATGGCAAGTACAAATGTGTTTTAACTACCAAAATCTCACTATCGATCGTGTCAAATTTTAGAAAATTCCAACTTTCAAAAGGACCAAAAATTTCAAATAAACACAGAAATTCCTGAAACATTATTTATTCATATCATCTTTCTTTTTGATTTACCATGTTAAAGTGCAGCAATTAACAAACCAAGTCAAAGCCATTGGATTTACATATACCCTAACCAAGCAAGTTATACCGATACATTTGCAGCTTCTAAAGTGAGTAGTGTACTTTGAAGTATAAATTTAAAACCACTAATAATTGGATATGACAAATAGTATACATACTTGTGAATAACAAACAGCCACGTTGAATCTTTACATCTTTGAGTTTCCAATGAATGGTCTTAACTTCACAATTTACCCATCTAAGGTAAACCCCTCACCATATAGAAGCCAAATTCTATATCCTACTATAAAGACTCCACCGATAAAAAGCAGAATACCACCAACTGCATAAGGTCCTATTAGGATAAATAACTTAACTAAAAGCTTCTAGCATTAGCATTTATCATATATGTGCTTATGTAAAAGCTATTTCTATAACAAAATATAAAATAAAGTCAAATGTTTCATATAAGCTTTTAAGTTGTTTCCATAAGCTATCCTAAACCCTAATCCCTAAACCCTAAACCCTAAAGTCAAATGTTCCATATAAGCTTTAAGTAGTTTCCATACTTACATAGCTTACACAAATAATCTGAAAACAACTTATACTTTTTCAAACAGTCATCTCACTAGTATTTATGCAAGTATATTATCAAAAATAAGTAAATCCAAACGGACCACGAGTAAGTAAACAATATATACAACAAAAATAGCAAAGGTGCACATAACTCATACCACTCCAGCAGGATCATCATGATTTCCATGAATGGTAAACACAGGCAAACCAACATTGAAATGAGGATCTTCATAATTTACATGACCGAACCTGTGAAACGCAAATTCAAAACATAACATTCAATAACTATATAACACATAACAACTACCAAAACATAACAGCGAAAATTAATCACAGTGCGAGAAACAAACGTATTCTGAAAATTGAGAGTCTGATCGCTAACAACTTGAAAAGGAACAGGTCGATCGCTGAGGCAATAGCGACGGAGAATCTCAATAGCTTTGACTAAAGTTGACCTAGAAGGTTTGTTTTCGTGGAAAAGGTCACCGCCGAGTAGCATGAAATCGACGTGCTTCTGTTCCGCTATGGAGCAAATCTCTTCGAATGCTTGGAAGGAATCGTGGCGGCGAACTTCGTCTTTCTCCATGTAACCTAGATGGCAATCCGTTGCTATTAGGATTCGGAGTGTGTTTTCTTCAGGGTTCTCCATTGATGATGATGTTGCTCCTTGCTATTGTTATTGCTGCAACCACAATGGGGAGAGAGTTGCGAGAGTGAGGAACTTTTGTGTAATTCTAGGAGGAAACAAACCTCGTCGTATTGCAGCTACGAAAGGCGGGACGGCGGGACCTTTTCTTTTATGTGAAAAACGATATAAAATAGATATTCATTTTTATTTTTAATTTACTTTATATAGGCTTAAATGCATTTTGATTAGCGAGAGCAATGAGGTGATTTCTATTATAGGGTAATTTAGTATTTGTCATTTGTTGGATATTCTCATTAAGTCCTATGTGGCATTCTTATCTTTACTATTTTTGTGTATAAATAGGTGTACTAGATTTACATTTAATACAATCAATTTTCTTTAATCATTTGTGGCAGTTTTTAGTATTTATTCATTTTCTCTCTTCTTCCTCAATTTCATCACCTTGCACTAACAAATTGGTATCAGAGCTCTTGGTTTATTCTGAAATTCTGGGAAACACAAGTGATAGTGAGTTGTGTGTTTGATTTTTGAATCTTGAACAAAAATCTAAAATAGAATCACACTGATTCTATGGGTTTGGGAAACACTGAGTGAGAAATCTGAGATCTGAGTTTTTGTGCAAGGTTTAAAATGAATGGAGGCAGTAGTTTGAACACTAAACTTCCAGTTTTTGATGGCAAAAACTTGAACAGATGAAAGATACAAATGTGTGTGTTGTTTGGTGCTCAGGATGTTCTGGACCTTGTTTCTGAAGGTTATGTTCCAGTTGCAGCAGATGCTACTGAAGAACAAGAATCAGAAGAAAGAGCTATGAGGAAGAGGGATTAGAAAGCTTTGTTCTTTATCCATCAGTGTGTGGATGAAAATGTGTTTGAGAAGATTGTTGATTCGACGACATCGAAAGGGGCATGGGATATACTGACCAGATGTTATGGTGGTGACGTGTCAGTAAAGAAGGTAAAGCTGCAGTCCCTGCAAAAACAATATGAAAATCTCAGCATGAAGAACAGTGAAAAATTTTCTGAGTACATCTCCAGAATGATTCTGATCACTAATGAGATGAAGGCTTGTGGAGAAACACTTTCTGAACAGGTAATCATATAAAAGATTCTGAGGTCACTTACTCCTCAGTTTGATTACATTGTTGTTTCTATTGAACATTCTAAAAATCTGGAAACCATGAGAATAGAAGAGTTGCAAAGCAGTCTAGAAGCGCAAGAGTTGCGTCTGACTGAAAGAACTTCTGAGAGGGAAGTGGAGCAAGCTCTGAAAGCTTCTTTTGTCAAAAAGGACCAGAAGCAGAATAGACACGGTGATAAATTCTAGAAGTCAGAAACCTCAATTTCTGATGAAAAGAAATATCATAAGGGAAAGGAAAGGTATGACAAGAAGAAGGTTCAATGTTACTGTTGTAAACAATTTGGCCATTTTTCCAGAGACTGTAGAAACAGAGGAAGGAAATCAGAAGAAGCAAATATAGTCAGAGGAGATTCTGATGATGAACCTGTGCTACTGATGGCTTCTGATTTTGATGGGAACTGTTCAGAAGATTGGTGGTATATGGACACTGGTTGTTCAAACCACTTGAATGGGAACAAACAATGGCTGATAGACTTTGACTCCAGAAGAAGAACAAAGATCAGATGTGCTAATGATAAGTACCTTAATGCAGAAGGTATGGGAAATGTCAGAGTCAGAGTGAAGAATGGAAAAAAACATTCTGATCAAAGATGTTTGGTATGTTCCTGGAATTAAAAGCAATCTGATGAGTGTAGGTCAGCTTATTGAAAAAGGTTTTTCAGTGGTTATGAAGGACAACCTCTTGTCGTTGTATGATTCTAATCAGAAGTTGATTATGAAGTCTGAGTAGGGAAGCAACAGAACATTCAAGGTGAATGTAGAAACTTCTGAAGCAGCGTGTCTTAGTGCAGAAGGCGCTGAAGCTAACAATAAGTTGTGGCACAAGAGGTTGGGGCACTTGAACTATAGAAGTTTAGGGCATCTAAGTTCTAAGAAGCTCGTACATGGCATTTCGAAGATTGTGAAGCCTCAGAAGTCATGTGAGATATGCATGAAAGGCAAGCAACCCAGGTTTCCATTTTCATCAGAAGTAGCCCCCAGAGCAAAGTATGCTCTGGGAGTAGTACATTCTGATGTGTGTGGACCATTTCCAGTACCTTCACTTGGAGGAAACAAATATTTTGTGTCTTTTGTGGATGAGTTCACAAGAATGACATGGGTAACACTCATCAAGTTCAAGCATGAAGTGTTTACTGAGTTCCAGAAGTTCAAGGTGAAGGCTGAGAAGCAGAGTGGTCAGAAGCTGGAGATTCTGAGAATAAATGGTGGAGGTGAGTATAACTCTACAGAGTTCCAGAAGTTCAGTGAGGAGAATGGAATAGAACATGAGGTTACTGCTCCATATACTCCTCAGCACAATGGTCTTGCTGAAAGAAGAAACAGAACTTTGCTTGATATGACCAGAAGTATGCTGAAAGAGAAGAAGTTACCTCACATGTTATGGGGAGAAGTTGTTGCCACATCAACATATGTTCTGAATAGGTGTCCAACAAAGAAGCTGAAGGAAATTGTTCCTTTAGAAAAATGGACTGGAGACAAGCAAAGTGTTAGCCATTTGAAGGTGTTTGGTTATGTATGCTACAAACACGTTCCAGGGGCTAGAAGACGAAAACTGGATGATAAAAGCAAAACAATGTTACTGGTGGGGTACCACAGTACAGGTGCCTATAAGCTTTATTGTCCATAAACCAACAAAGTTGAAATCAGCAGAGACGTCATTGCGAAAGAGTCAAAAACATTGGATTGGAACAAGCTTCAATTAGATTCTGGTGTAGCGCCAACACTGGGGTTAGTTTCTGAAGATCCTTCAAAAAGTTCTGAAGACGAGTCAGAGTCAGAAGATGAAGACTCTAAAAATGAGTCAGAATCTCAGGGAGATTCTGATAGTGGATCTGATTCTGATCTAGATTCTGATGATGATCCAGAATCTGGTGGTGATTATACTTCTGGGAGGGAAAACTCTGAAGACATGGGGTCTGGAGAACAAGTTTCCAGAAGTAACTCTGAAGGTGTTAATTTTGAAGGAAATAATTCTGGACAAAGTCCAGAAACTAGCATTGTTCCGAGTTTTGGAGAAGCTTCAGAACAAGATCAGAGGCCACAGAGAATCAGACAAATACCAAGTAGGTTTGCATATTTTAGCATGTTGCATGATACTGAAGTAGATTCTGAAGGAGAAATCATTCAGTGTGCCATGCTAGTAGATTCTGAACCAGTGGGTATTGAAGAAGCTCTCAAGAAGAAAGTATGGTTGAATGCCATGAAAGAAGAACTTGAGGCTATTGAAAGAAACAAGACTTGGAAGCTGACAGAACTTCCAAAAGGCAATAAAGCCATCAGCGTCAGATGGGTTTTCAAGAAGAAGCTAAAGCCAGATGGATCAATTGGCAAACACAAAGCGAGACTAGTGGCCAGAGGTTTTCTTTAGAAACCTGGACTAGATTACTTTGAGGTGTTTGCGCCTGTAGCTAGACACGAAACAATCAGACTGGTGATTGCTTTAGCTGCAAACAGAAATTGGCCTTTGATACATTTGGATGTGAAGTCTGCATTTCTAAACAGTCCATTACATGAAGAAGTTTATGTGTCATAACCTCCTAGATTTGTGAAAAAGAATCAGGAAGGGATGGTATACAGGTTAAATAAAGCTCTGTGTGGACTGAAGCAAGCGCCCAGAGCTTGAAATTTGAAGATTGATTTGTTTTTCAAGGAACAAGGGTTTCAGAAGTGTGAGATGGAGTATGGTGTTTATGTTCAGCATACTTCAGAAGGTAATATGATTCTGGTCTGTTTGTATGTTGATGACATATTACTCACAGGAAGTTCTGAACAAGAAACAGTTGAGTTCAAGAAAGTTATGATGAATGCGTTTGAGATGACAGATCTTGGAAAAATGAGTTTCTTTCTAGGGATGGAATTTATATACTCTGAGAAAGGAATCATCTTACATCAGAAGAAGTATGAACTAGAGCTTCTGAAGAGATTTGAGCTAGCAAATTGCAAGGTTGCTATCACACCTGCTGATACGAATCTAAAGTTGGACTCCGATTCTGATGGAGAGGATGTGGATGCTACAACCTTCAAACAGATGGTTGGTTCTCTAAGGTATTTGTGTAATACCAGACCTGATATTTGCTATGCAGTTGGAATGGTCAGCATATACATGAGCAAACCAAAGTGGTCTCATTACCAAGCTGCTGTCAGGATTCTGAGGTATGTAAAAGGAACTCTAAAATATGGAGTGTTATTTTCTTCTGGAGGAAAGATCAAATCAGAACTTCTGAGTTATTCTGGTTCTGATTGGTGTGGAAATAGAGTTGACAGAAGAAGTACTTCTGGGTACTTGTTCAAGTTTCTGAGAGGTCCAATTTCTTGGAGTTCCAAGAAACAACCTGTTGTGGCGTTGTCAACATGTGAAGCTGAATACATTGCAGGTGCTATAGCTGCTTGTCAAGCAGTTTGGCTTCTGAATCTGCTGCATGATCTGAAGGTTGAAGTTGAGGAACCTCTGAAGTCGATGATTGATAATAAGTCTGCAATTAATCTTGCCAAGAATCCAGTGCTACATGGAAGAAGCAAGCACATTGAGACGAAGTATCACTTTCTCAGAAGTCAAGTGCAGAAATGAGTGTTATAAGTTCTGCACTGTAGCACTAGAAGCAGCTGACAGATATTCTGACAAAGGCGATAAAAACAGACCAATTTCTTCGCTTGAGAGATGAAATTGGTGTTGTTAACTTCTGATAGTTACTAAATTACGGGATGGTATTAGAGGGTAATTTAGTATTTGTCATTTGTTGGATATTCTCATTAGGCCATATGTGGCATTCTTATCTTTATTATTTTTGTGTATAAATAGGTGTACTAGGTTTATATTTAATACAATCAATTTTCTTCAATCATTTGTGGCAGTTTTTAGC